TGGGCAGAGTGTATTTTTCATTAGCCTCAGGTTCCGAGTGAAGCTGTGGCATCATGTCGTTTAGCTGCACCATGTCTTTCCATGATTTCAGACCATCCTTTGACTTGCATGTGTCCATCAAGGTAGCAATCAGACTCTCAAAGATATTCTTCTGCATGTGCATAGCATCAATAGCATGGGGGACCTCCAAGTCTAGCCAATAAGGCAGATACTGAAAGAAGATCGATTGTTTCGTAAAAGGTACGCCTTCGACAGGAGGTGTGCTTCTATCTCTGTTCGTCCCATCCGGATTCTTCTTTCCATAGACGACGTGTATGTTTTTCACCATTCTGTACACGTGTTCTCCGTTATGACGTCTCTTCGGAGGGGGTTCAATCTTCGGGGTGTTGTCATAAAATCTAAAGAATAATTTGCTACGGTACTTGTGACTTGTCTTTAAGAAGCGCCGGTTCCTTAGGTAAACTATCTTCTTGGATGCATCCAGGAACACCCATGTAGTACCATCCAAGCAAACTAAGCATCATGTCTTCCCTTTGATCTGTCCAGACAAAGTAAACAACACGGGGTATTCATTGGTAGTAACAAATATTATTGCTCTACAAATGAAGTCCTCCTTTTGGAACGCATCGTATATTAGCTCCTCATGCCTCCATAGCCTCTCCATTTCTTGCATCAAAGGCTCGAGTAACACGTCTATATCAATGTCTGGTTGTTTAGGGCTAGAAATAAGAATAATGAGGAGAAGATACCTTCTCTTCTGACACAACCACGTTGGGATGTTGTACATGGTCAAGATCACTGGCCAAGTGTTGTGGTCGCTCGTCCTCTCATTGAAGGGATTTATTCCATCGGTGGTCAAGCCAAACCGTACATTCCTTAGGTCGTCGCTGAATTCTTTGTGCTTCTCATCGATCCTTTGCCACTGACTACAATCAGCCAGGTGTGCAATCTTATCATCATCCACCTTGCGCTCATCATCCCACCATGTTATGAGTGTGGCTTCTTTAGGGTTTAGGAAGATACGTCTCAAGCGGTCGGTCAACTAGCAGGTACCACATTACCAAGGCAGGAATTCTTCTCTGCTTTGCATCGTTGCCTAATGGAGTGTCCTCTAGGGGTTGAGGTTCATGTACCACCTTTTTGTACCCTTCTTATTCCTCTTTTTTCCGTGGATGCTTCGTCCCCGCCATAAAGGTCATTGTTCTTATACCGGCTGGCCCCAACCACATCGGGGACATTTATCTAGTGACTTGAACATTTTGCCACGAAAAAGGATACAGTGGTTGGGGCATGCATGGATTTTTTCAACCCCCATTGTCAATGGACTTATGACCTTCTTCTCTTGGTATATATTGGCAGGAACTGAGTTTGGTTGTGGCAGCACCCATGATAGGAGACGCAATAGATCATTGAAACTACAGTCTGACCAGCCATACTTAGCCTTCAGGATGAGTAGCTCAAGCACAAAATGTAGCAATGTCCAATGTGTTGAATAGCCCTTTTCAACATCATACATAGTCTCCTTCGATGCTTTTGTCATCCTTTCCAAATTTTCTAGACCTTTCGGGCTCTTTAGTAAAATCTCTGGTCCAAGGACTCGAATCATGTCCTCCAAATCATCTTCATCCCCGACACCTGCTCCGCCATCATTATTAGCACCACCTTTGTCATTACCATCCCAACCACCAGCATCACCACCTTGTTCATTACCAAACTCGGGATCCATTCGTGCATCAAGCTCTGCTGAATATTGGGACAAGGATTCTAGGGTTTTGTCGTCGTATTCCTCCTCCTCATCGTCGTTAATAATAACCGTTTCACCATCATGAATCCACACTGTGTAGTCCTCAACAAATCCTCGTATAATCAAATGTGATCTGATGATAGTCACATCTGTCCATGCCACACGGTTCTTGCAATCTTTACAGGGATAAATAATTGTATCCTTATTCTCTGTCAACGTCGTTGCATGCTTCTTTGTGGCTTTAATAAATTTATCCACCTCTTCACGAAAACCTGCCTTAAACCTTAATGAACCATACATCCAAGAGTTCATCTACTCCATCTTTTACAACAACAACAAAATAAATATTAAAGGACTACTTATTCATATATATATAAATAAATCAAATTAATAATTACTTGAGAATAATTGTATATACTTTAGATATATATAAATATAAATCAAATATAATTACATGAAGCATACAAACACACCATGGTAGAGAAAAATTAATTAAGGGCCCATTTATCCATAAATAATTAAAATACATATTTGTTGATTACAATAAACAATTTCAAAGACAATAATTAGCAACAATTATATTTTACCCAATATTTTTCATGCAAACCCTAGTCCAATTTTATCAAACATAAATTTACAAAAACGAAATTAATAAAAAACCAAACCCTAGATCTAGATCTACATGCACATGAAACATCCATAAAACTAACTAATTGTCCACTAAAATCAAGAAATATGGACCAAATAAGGGTATGATCTTGTTCCCCTACTTAATTTACCCTAGTACATTCAAAACTTGAGTCTAATGTGCTTCATAAGTAGCTCAAGCACTATAGAAGAGAGAGAAAAGCAAAACTCTAATTATTCACTAACTAACCATTAAAACTTTTAAAAAATGTGAAATAGTATTTTCTTACCTTCTACAGCCTCTCCACCAAAGGATTTGAGACCAAAACCTTCTCTCCTTAATAGAGCAATTTTTTGGAGGTGCTCAAGACCTCCCTACCTTTTTTTCACGGGTTGGAGTGAATGACCCGAGGAGAAAGAAGGGGATGCAGGCATTTATACGTGGGTCATTCTACAAATCGCAACACCGGAGCGGCTGGTGGGTGAGCTGCCCCTACAAACCGACCCATTTGTAGGGGCGGCTCGTATCACCAGCCGTCCCTACTGTTCCATTTGTAGGGGCGACTGGTCTTGTGGGTCTCGAGCACGCCCACTGTAGGGGTAGCTCCATCACCTGTTGTCCCTAAAAAAATTATTCCGTTGCTACAAACGTTTTTTTTAAGTAGTGTGTGTGCATGGCCCAAGTCATTGTACTGGCTTCATTTCTGACACACTACTAGCCTATAACATGTAGCTAGCATACTTCTCCACTCTGCATTGACCCCAACGATCACTAACCTTAAATCAAAACTGAAGTTGATGGCGCCCTTGCCACCATGCTACCCATCGACTGACCAATCGAGCATTTATGAGCCTAATTAACCTTAACCATCATTGTTGCTATATATAGAAGAATCTACGGATGACGACTAATATTGCATCATACCGGCATGAGCCTATTCATTGGTGTTTAGTGGTTTTTATGGAGATGCACAGTTTGAGTTTAAAGAAAAAATTCTGACCGAGTTAGTTCAAGCGTGCAGAAAAGTCGGTGGAGACTTTAGCGTGTTCGGCTGATCTGGTCTTGGATTGTTTCAGCTTGTTTCAGTTTATTCTCTCTCACACAACACTATTGAATCAACCGAAATCAGCTGAACTACAGTGAAAATCTGTACCCGTCGAACACCCCCTTTAATATTATCAGAAATCCATGTGAAAAAATAATGATAAGTTTGACGCCCTTTTTATTTAATGCAATTATAGATGGCTTGGATCTAAGAGACATCGAAATGTCATGAAGAAAATTTACTTGGGCCAACTCCAAAAGTGAACCAACTTATGAAAAGTTAGACAGGGTGCTTGCCAGCATGGAGCTGGAGCAAAAATTTCCCCTTGTCACTGTTGATGCATTGAATAGGGAAATTTTGGATCACAGCCCCTTGCTTCTCAGCACTAGTGAGAAGGTACGCATGGGCAACAAACTCTCAGGACGAAGAGCTTCTCACTGATCTGGTGTAGATGGACTGAGAAGGTGGTTAACAGAGGGAGCGTGGGGATTAAGGTGAATGAGGAAATTGGTCATACTTTTCAGACCAGGAAAGGAATTAGACAGGGGTTCCCTCTCGCCTACCCTTTTTAATCTGGTAGCTGATATGTTGGCTATCCTCGTTTCGAGAGCAAAGAACAATTTCCAGTTTAGGGGTCTAGTACATAATTTGGTAGACAATGGGTTATCCAAACAGTACGCAAACGGTACGATCTTGTTTCTCGAGGACAACCTAGAGGAGGCTAAAAATCTGAAACTTGTGTTGGGTGCGTTTGAGAAACTGTTGGGATCTTGTTTCTACCGTACCTGTCGTCTTGTATTGTTGGCCATAACCATTCACTTGTGAATGTGAAGGCTCGAATGTTTCTATCTTAATCTAAAAAAAATGAGCCTAATAATTTTGTAAAAAGCAATAGCAGAGATGACGAAAGTGTAGTTGAAACTATGCATAAACCTTCCACACAAAAAGTAACTCTTGCTAAATTGGTGAGGAAGTTTGCATTGAAGATATTCACAGTTAGCTCATGAGTTTGGGGCACTTCCCTGCAAACCTTATATTTCTCCCCATTTCCTACAAAAGAATAAAGTCCATCCCACCTCCAAGAAATGTTCGCGCAGAGAATCTAGCACCATTTCACTGAAAACGACTCCGCACATGCCGTTTAGCTCAGGAGACTAGAAAACTGACAACGAACTGCAAGAGCTGCCGATTTCATTAGCACCCACTCGCACAGTCGCGCACACACATCGCGGTGTTAACCTCTTTGCGCGGACAGAAACAAGATAGAGAGGCGAGGGAAAGTGCCAGAGTCCATGGGCTACCAATCTCATGGACGACAGCAGATCCGCGTCACGCATTCACGCTCTTCTGGCAAGTGCTTTGCTTATCAGTCAGAACAGGGCATAGCGCATAGATCGTATCCTTGGAATCCTTACGACTACCTGGCATCCATGCCCCCAATTTATGGTGTGTGGAGCTCGCCACATACACTTCTCTGTTATATATATATATAAATATATATATCAGCTCCCTCTCTGCGTCTGCGTCTGCTGCTTGCTTCAGACACTTGACACTCACTAGCAACTAGCAAGTGCCTCCTCACCATGACCATGAGCCTGCTGCTGCCGGGGGGCCCTTGCTCCTCCTCGCTGGCAGCGCTGGCGGCGTGGTGGTCTCTGTCGCTCCTGGCTGTCATCGGAAGCAGCGGCTCGCCGGTGCTCGGCTGCTACACGCGCATCTTCAGCTTCGGCGACTCGCTGACAGACACGGGCAACTACGTCCACCTGACGGCCACCAGCCACAGCCCCTACGGCGCGCCGCCCTACGGGAGGACGTTCTTCGGCAAACCTACTGGCCGCGCCAGCGACGGACGCCTTGTCATCGACTTCATCGGTGAGCAAGCTGCCTTCGTTTGATTCTTGATTGAGTTTTTTCCTAGTTATTAGTATACGTTGGTTTTTCTGCCTCAACCCATTCTGTGTTCAAAAGATATGTCAGTATCGACCCCAAATTGCCGTCCTGTTATTCTTCAGTGAAGCAAAATGATAGGCGACCTTTACGGATTGCCTCAATGTGCATGGGTTTATACTTCCTAATGAAAGAAATAGAATGTATGTCTGAAGTCTGAACTCATTGCTGGTGCGCTCAAATGAACAGAAACAAGGCCAAATGAGCATCCGCTAGACCCCATACAATACAAGTAACTGTTCTTTCGCCCTTTATTGGTAATTCCTGATTGAAGTGGCTTCTGAATTTGGTCGACAACTCCACACTCACGCGTAGTGTTCTTCCGTGGCAAAGACTGTTTACAAACCTAGGCACCTAACTACATAACAGGGCAGTACAGAGTACAGACTGGTTGTGTCCTGTGTGGCTGTGTATTAGTAACGGCAAAAGTAGATAGAAAGCTTAATGATTAGCTTGGTCTTGATTTGATTTGATTCTCCATCTAATATTTATGAACTAGAACCCCAGAACGTTGTCTGAGTGCCAGTTCAGTTTGCTTTTGGTGAAGAGAGTGTCTGGGCGCTTGTTGCACCTTAATTAAGCTTGCTCGAGCGAGTCCTGTCCTGTCCAGGTACAAGAGTCGTAAAATGTGTGCGCTTGCGTCGGTACTCAGTAGTAGTACAGCTGCGCGCTTTAAATTAGGATTAGCGGCATCCATGGTCCCTTAAACTGTGCGTGTTTATGAGCGTCGATCTGTGCACATTGATCGAATTAAGAGTAGTCCCCTAGTCACCTAAAGAGACAGGAGCAAGAAGACAGAGCCAGGTACCGGTCTTCCTCCACAGGAGGAGGAAGAACTTGGTTCCGTCCAAGACGATGAACCCATCACAGACTTGAAAGGTGTTGCGTTGCAGGGTTTGCAACATGCAAATCATTGGCCCATGCTTTCCTAGACATTCCCAAAATTGGCAGCAGCACCAGCACCAGCACCAGGTGAAGGCTACAGTTTACCTGCCTTTTATTATGGCTATTGCTACTTTCTAATAGTTCGTGCGCCGCGCATTTTGAAGCGCCTAGTAGTCACGGAAAGCAATTTTTATCTTGTAAAGCAAAGCCATGCACGCATGATCGTCTCCACGCCATGCATGTACAGGCAGTAATAACTAATGCTTGGGCTGCATGCAATGCAATGCAGCGGAAGAGTTCGGGCTGGCGAAGGTGACGGCGATCCAGGCGGGCACGGCGCCCGGGGACTTCCAGAGCGGCGCCAACTTCGCCATCATCTCGGCCACCGCCAACAACGGCTCCTTCTTCGCGGGCAACGGCATGGACATCAGGCCCTTCTCGCTGGACACGCAGATGCTCTGGTTCAGGACCCACCTCCGCGAGCTCGTGCAGGCGGCGGCCCCGGCAGCGGCGGCGCAGCAGAACGGCAGTGCCGCCGCCCTGCTGAGCGGCGCGCTAGTGGCGCTGGGCGAGATCGGAGGGAACGACTACAACTTCGCCTTCTCGCGGGGCGTGCCGCGGGACGAGGTGCGCCGGTTCGTGCCGGCCGTGGTGGACAAGCTGGCGGGCGCCATGGAGGAGCTCATCGCGCTGGGGGCGCGCGCCTTCGTGGTGCCCGGGAACCTGCCCTTCGGCTGCACGCCGCTGTACCTGCAGCGGTTCCGCGCTAACGGCGGGTGGTGGGACTACGACCCCGCCACGGGCTGCCTCGCCTGGTTCAACCGCTTCGCCCAGTACCACAACCGGGTGCTCACCGCCCGCCTCGACAAGCTCCGCCGCCTGCACCCGGACGTCACCATCGTCTACGCCGACTGGTACGAGGCCACGATGAGCATCTTCCAGGCCCCCGGGAAGCTAGGTACGTGACGCTGACGCCCGTACACAACAACTACTCATGTGTAGAACTGCGCGCGCCGCCGTGCTGCTGCTTCTGCCCACCATAGGCATAGGCCATGCTGCGTCGAGCGACGTCCATGGCTCTGTTTGCTGCCCTTGAGGTTGAGGCTCTGTTTGCTGCTGCGACGGCGACGCCGCACCAAACAGCGAGGCACCTCTTGTCGGATCGCGTGGCAAGTAGGCCCCTTTTGCATTGGAAGCACGGTCGGGCCGGCGACAAAGCACAGCGAGTCTTCGTCTTCCTTCCACAGGTCACAGGGGTGATAGGGAGGGAGATGGGCAGTTATGGCTAAAAGGCTATGCGCGTACATGGCCCGGGCCCGGCACCAGTTGTGGTTGTGTGGCCACCAGCTGCATGAGCCAACAAACGCCAAAGGCCATCATGGGTTCACGTGCGTGCAACAAATGGCCCGTCGCGACCAGCTGGGCGCTGCCTAAGGTTTTTGGGCCTGGTACAGATCTTAACTTGGCTAGTATTATCCAAAGTGTCAGCCCAGGATAGCTGACTGGTAGCTTTCTTGTAAGTCCCGTAGCTCCATAGGTCATGATGACTCATCAGCTGAGGTCCCATTTCCTCGAAAGAAAATCAGTTGAAATCCCAGCAAAGTCAGGTTGAAAATCCACACTGACCAGGCAATAGCTGACCAAGTGATTGACTACTTGCAGGGTTCACAAACGCTCTGCGGACTTGCTGCGGGAACCATACCGTGCCGTGTGGAATGCCCGGGTGCTCCGTCTGCAAGGACCCGTCCACGTACGGGTCTTGGGACGGGACGCACCCGACGGAGGCGGTGTACAAGGTGATCGCCGACGGGGTGCTGCAGGGGCCGTACGCGTCCCCTCTTCCTCTCGCCGAGACTTGCCCTCCCACCACATGAGAACATCAATCAGACAACATCAGCGGGATCTGCTTGGATGGTCGTCCTCTGATGATCCTTAGAAGATTCATAATTATCAGCTTAGAGTGGTAACATCTGAATTACACTTGTGAATTTTTAAGGACGGTACAATAGATTTGTTTCAGAATACAGGTGAGGTTGACATATTTCAATAGCATACACACGAAGCATTGAAGTGATAATTGGGTTTGTATAAACATTATTGTTATGGTCCTGCCACCCCTTTTCCTCCGGAACATCATTGCAACAACAGCCATTCACTCCAAAGTCTTATTTTATGCATGAGAAGATCATTCTTGTTGTTTGTTAGGAGCTAGACAACACGACCATGTTGCATGGTTCTTGGTTGCGCTCACGACATTTTTGTGAGCCATTGCATGCTCCTGAATTCAGGTGGTGGCGTATCCTCACAATTCTCTCCAACCTGATATGTTCCTTGCCATGTCAATAGTATACACATGCATGAAGCACTTTGCAATTGGGTCTGTATAAACAACAACCACCATTCAGGAGCCATGTCAGTAGTATACACATGAAGCACTGAAGTAACAATGCAACTGGATTTGTATAAACAACAACCAGTGGCGGATCTAGCGCGCATGAGGGGGGGGGGGCGCTCAAGCCCCCCTACCGCCGCTGATTCCATAGAGCCCCCTAGAGCCTGTTCAAGAATTTTTGCCATAGCTGCTTTGAAGAGGAAAGGCTTAAGGTTGAAGATGGCGATAAACTCGTAACTTCAGCCCCCATAAATTTTCATCCTAGGCCATGTCAACAGTATACACATGAAGCACTGAAATGACAATGCAATTGAGTTTGTGTAAACAATATTGTTATGATCATGCCTACCCTTCCCGTGAAACATCATTTTATTTATGAAATGGGAGGGGTGTGAACCCCTACTAAATTTATTAAAAAAGGAAAGTACTCAAATACACGGCTGAAGAAACAAAAAAGAGCACAAAGAAAATAAAAAGAATTGCATAAAGGAATCTAGTCATAAATCTATGGGGGATGATAACTTGCTTTTGCTCATAGAATATCTAGAGCAAACTCTTGCTTGAAGACAGCCTTACAGCGTTCCATGGAATGTTGAAGGTTGTTGAAAATATTATCATTCCGTACTGTCCAAATAGCCTAGCATATTGTGATGATAAATCTTTATGAAGAAAGGGAGCTGAAGCTCACTAGGACATCAAAGGGGTCACTGGTGTTAGGTACAATCAAATTAAGAGTAAAAACCAACAAGCTGAGGCAAAAGTGCAGTCCAACAACAATAATCGTTCGTTCCAAAGACGTACTTTATACATGAGAAGGCTGTGCTTGCTGCCTATTAGGAGCTGGACACCACGGTTAATGTTGTGTGTTTCTTGGTTGTGATCATGACATTTTCGTGAGCCATTATGCGCTCCTAAATTCAGGTGGTGACGTACCCCCACGATTCACTCGAACGAACATGATACCTTCCCTGTCCCTGTCAAACTAAACGCCGCTAGAGCCTGCATCACCCAGCCGCGACGATCCACATGATCCCGCAGCCCGCGCTGCAAAATTTGCTACCTCTGCCATAGCCGCACATATATATGTACGTGTGCTCGTCGCATTCAAGAACATGATCAGTTGATCGCGTGCGCCAGCCATGCAGGCCGTCGCCCTGCCCACGATGGAGTCGGAGCTGAGGGCTCTCGCGTGGGCGACGCTGCTCACCCCGGCGTGCGCGGTGTACGCGCGGTTCGCCGCTCGCTGCCTTCGCCCGGGCATCCCGCGCCTTGCCGCGCTCCTCCCGACATTCCCAGTGTTCGTGTACATGCCCTGCATGTTCAGCTCCCTCCACCTGCGCCTCTTCTCCACCTTCTTCCACACCTGGCTGGCCACCAATAAGCTCGTCCTCCTCGCGCTCGACCTCGGCCCACTCCACCCGCGCCTCCCGCTCCTGCCGTTCGTCCTCTGCGCCGGCCTCCCTATCAAGGTCCGTCGTCTCCAGCAGAGCCAGCAGCAGCCTACTAAGAATCAGCGTCGTCGTCGTCGTCGTCGTCGTCGCCTCCCGGCGCCGAGTTCTTGAGGCCCTGCGCCCGCAGCGTCTTGCTCCTCAGCTGCCTCGCCGTGGCGTACCCCTACACGGGGTGGCTCCCGCTCTACGCGCTCCACTATCTCTACTGCATCCAGATCTTCCTCACGCTCGACCTCGTGTTCTCCTGTGTCATGCTCGTCTCCGCGGCACTCGTGGGCGCGACCCTGGAGAGACAGAGACAGTTCAACACGCCGCTCGCCGTCGCCTCGTTGAACGGCTTCTGGGGCCGGCAATGGAACCTAATGGCCGTCGACCTCCTCCGCGAGTCGGCGTACGAGCCCGTGCGCGCTAGGTGGGGCCGGGACGTCGGCGTGCTGGCCGCGTTCCTAATGTCGGGCCTGCTCCACGAACTCCTGTACTGGTACCTGACGCTGCAGCAGCCCAGAGGTGAGATGCTGCTCTTCTTCATGTTCCATGCTGCGTTCCAGATCGCTGAGCGATGGGCCAGGGCGGCTGGGCTGTGGCGGCCGCCCAAGGCGGTGGCGTACCTCCTTGTCACGGCCTTCATGGTGGTCACCATATCGGAGATGTTCTTCGGGCCATTCGTGAGAGCCGGCACAGACGTGCGCTTGAAGGAGGAAACTGTGGCGATGGTGGAACTGATTTGGGGTGCCAGGAAGTATCTACTCCGTCCGTTTAGGGTGGCTTCAAGCTAGAGGCGGGTAGGCGGGGTATGGTCGATTTATAGTTGATACATTGCAGAGCATCAACTCGCGCATGAGCACTTGTATATGTATAACATATTACTACATGAGATCTTTTTTATCAAATAATATAAAAAACAAGATTGAAGAGACAAAGAAGATGAGCTAGCTTAGTTGGTTGAGGGCATGCAACAAGTTCAAGTCCCCATTGAAGTGAATTTGGGTGTCAATTTTCTTCTTTTATATAAGTTGTTCTAGTTTTTATGATTGAATAAAAGACATCAGTTTTATGACTTCAGCTTTAACACCAAGTAAGGTTGAGCATAACTCAAACTTAGCCCCAAGTTGATCTAGTTTTTAGATTGAACAAGAGACATGATTTTAAGACTTCAATTTTCATACCAAGTAAGGTTTAGCTACAGGAACATTATTTGTTCTCTCATGGGTGCTTATCTTGCATAGTTTAGTGTCACTTTCAGTGATAACTCCTCAAATAAATCATATATCACATCAATGTGCTTTAAAAAACAAATTTTAAACTAGGAGAAATGAGGTGATTTTTCATTAAAAAGAGAAATATGCACCCAAATTCAAGCTGAGAGAGAATTTGAACACAACTCCCACCCAACCAGTTAAGTTAGACTCATTTCCTTCATGTAAATGTGCTTTGCTAATAACACTCTAGATATAAATAAAAGTATATAAAGTTCTTAACCAATTAGTTTATTTACAGGTTTCAGAAATAGGCATATATTAAACTTTAATGGTAGGCAATGCAACAATGGTTTGCAAACTTGTTAACAACACAACCACCAATGTTGGAAACATAACCTATGAGAGACATCATATTATCTAAACACTTAAATATCACAATCAATGAATCAATATGAACAGTAAGTCAATCTCTAGATTTTCCGGCTGCAAACTTATTTGAAATATCACACAAATGTTAAAAGAAATACACTGGACTGTCCACCCCTTTTTTTGCCCACGAAACCCATTCACGGTTTCAAACCCTGAAGAGCCTGCGCCCTGCGGGCTGTGCGGCTATCACTGTGTGGCATCACCAGGCTCTCACTTTGAGGCTTATTACAGCAGCCCTCTTTATGCTCAAAATTTATTGCAGTGCTTGGTATCCATATCCTCCTGCAGACCTGCACTGCATGCACACCGAAAGAACTGCTAGGTCGTCACTTGGATTAGGGCTAGTTTAGATTACAAGTTTTTTTACTCTTTCTCTCGCATTAAATCTTTGAACATATGTATGGAGTATTAAATGTAGATAAAAAAATAACTAATTATACAGTTTGATTGTAAATTATGAGATGAATCTTTTGAGCCTAGTTAAGCCATGATTGGACAATAATTGTCAAATACAAACGAAAATGTTACAGTGCCAAATACTGATTTCTAACCTCAATCTAAACAAGGCCTAGAGAAAATTAATTTCTTGATTTTTTTTAGTAAAAAAAGAATGGGGTAGCTGTGTCTCACGTTACATATTCCTTCCTTGATTCTCACCTTTGCCCTACACAAGTTAACTCCCTACACCTGTTGCTTTCCTTCCACCTACAGTTCTGCAGCCCGCTGCATGCAGTACACCTGCACGCGCTGCCGTTCACATGCAGCATGCTCCACAGGTCCATAAATCTACGACAGCCAGTTCGATCGTTCCAGTCGCAGGCAGAAGTCTCCAAAATGCACCGCTTCTTCCTCCTCGTTTCTGCACTCGTAGCCACCACCACGCTTTCCGCCGACACCACCACCATTGCCGTTGCCCAGAGGTCATGGGCTGAACTCAGCGGGCGGGACAATTGGGAGGGCCTCCTGGACCCGCTCGACGCCGACCTCCGCCGCGCCGTCATCCGATACGGCGAGCTGGCGCAGGCGACGTCGGACGCGTTCATCGGCGACCCGGCGTCGCCCTACGCAGGCGCGTCGCGGTACGCGCCCGGCGCGTTCCTCCACAGGACGCAGGCGCCCGACGCGGACGCGTACCGCGTCACGAGGTTCCTCTACGCGACGTCGAGCGCGCGCGTCCCCGTCCCCGACACGTTCATCACGCGGCCGGCGCCGCCGGGGGCGTGGAGCGCCGAGTCCAACTGGATGGGGTACGTCGCCGTGGCCACGGACGCCGGCGCCGCGAGGCTGGGGAGGCGGGACATCGTGGTGGCGTGGCGCGGGACGAAGCGCGCCGTGGAGTGGGCCGACGACCTGGACATCACGCTGGTGCCGGCGACGGGCGTCGTCGGGCCGGGTCCCGGGTGGTCGCAGCCGGCGGTGCACCGGGGGTTCTTGTCCATGTACGCGTCGAGGAATTCCACGTCGCGGTTCAACAAACAAAGCGCGAGAGAGCAGGTAATGTAGCTTTGACTCCCTCATGTCCTTTGCTGACACACAGTCTGTAGTGTTTCCTTGTCGTCCTTCCATAGCATAGGCACTGACATGGGTCTTCAAAACTAAGTCATCCGATGGCCAGTAATTTTGACAGTGTTTTTTTGTAATGTTTTCAAGCGCACAAGAAAGGATACTGATTATACGTTGCTGATCACTATCGTTCTTGTCAGCTGTACTGTACCATACTAGAATGTGGCAGTGTGGGTGTGGCGCAATTTGTTCACACATTTGCACCAAGATCAGTCAAATGTTGGACCTTTTTCGTCGTCACAATAAATGGTAGAGATTATTACGACAGTGCAGACAGGTAGTAGCTCGTACTCTCGTATGTTTTTTTAGGATACCGACAAAGAGAGCATGGAAACTGCAGTGTACTACACGGGGACAGGCTTCTGTGTTTCACACACTGTAGGGAACTGGCAAATGATTTGGCAGGTGCGTTGTAGGAGGTAGGCATTTGCGTTGATTTAATGTATAGAATCTTGTTGGGACTGGATAACATCTTGGCCCTTGTTTGCCAAAAGTTTTCTCAAAAAGTGCTACAGTACCCATTACATCGAATCTTCGTGATACATGCATAGAGCATTAAATGTAGACGAAAACAAACTAATTGCACAGTTTGGTTGGAAATTGCGAGACGAACGTTTTGAGCCTAATTAGTCATGATTGAACACTAATTGTCAAATAAAAACGAAAGTGCTATAGTAGCTAAATTTCCAACTTTTCACCAACTAAACACGGGCTTGATGTTGGTGTCCACAAGAATTTTCGGAGAAGCAACAAGATAACATGCTGCAAACTGTTTCGATGTACCAAACTAATCTATGCATGCAGGTGTTGACAGAGGTTAGAAGGCTGCTGGACGCCTACAAGGGCGAGAACTGCAGCATCACGCTAACCGGCCACAGCCTCGGCGCGGCGCTCTCCACGCTCACCGCCATCGACATCGTCACCAACGGCCTCAACGTCCGGGGGGGCTCCAACCCCAACGACACGGTCCCTGTCACCGCCATCGTCTTCGGCAGCCCGCGCGTGGGCGACGACCAGTTCAAGAAGGCGTTCGATTCGTCGTCGACGCCCGGCGGCTGCGCCCGGCTGCTCCGCGTCCGGAACGCGCCGGACATCGTGCCGACCATCCTGCCGGCCGCGTTCTACAGGGACGTGGGCGTGGAGCTGCTGCTGGACACGCGCAAGTCGCCGCACCTCAAGAAGCCCGGGCCGGGCCCCGCGGCCTGGCACAACCTCGAGTGCTACCTGCACGGCGTCGCGGGCACGAAGGGCGACGGCGACGGCGCTGGGTTCGGCCTGGAAGTGGACCGCGACGTGGCGCTGGTGAACAAGGAGGTGGACGCGCTCAGCGACGACTACCCCGTGCCGGCGGCGTGGTGGGCGGAGAGGAACAAGGGCATGACCAGGGACGTCAAGAGCGGGCGATGGGTTTTGCAGGATCATGAGGAGGGTAACCTCGCCATGTGAGATGATTTTTGTAACTTTATTAGGTGGTCATGATTATGAAAGAGTTTTCTTCGACAATATCGCATAGGTATGGAAGGGTCAATGATAATATCGCGAATATTTCAGCAAAGTCCAGAATCAATCTGAGTCAGATTGTTTCAAATTCGAAACAGTTTCTATCAAAACCATTTCACTGAAACATGCCCCACGTTATAACGGCATTTTGGGCTAACGGTTTGGAAGATAGTAAAGGGCCAACATTATTTGGGCTCCTGAGCCCAGCATACCCTCTCTTTTTTTTTAAAAAAAAAGTCCACGTTAGCTCCTCAACTTTCGCGAAAATCCGTTTTTCCTCCCTGAACTCCAAAACCGGGCAAAACACCTCCCTTAACTTTTAAAACCGTTCATCTTACCTCCCTGACCCGGTTATAAGCGGTTTTACAGTTGGTTTTGTCTTTTTCTTTTTTATTTATTTCGGCTGAATCTTTGAAAAATCATAGTAAATCACAGAAAAATCATAAAATAGAAAATCTAATTTTGTTGAACTCCACATGAGTAGATCTACACAATGAACATATAATATGGTATGTTTTAGTATAAAATTTTTATTATAGTTTTAGATCTATGTTTTTCTGTAATTAATTGAAATAATTTCATAGCTGCAGTTTTTATGGTCTAATTGTAATGAAAATTTTATAGTAGCTAATTATTGTATGATTAAACTGTAGTAAAAATTTCATACTCGTTGGATCATGTATAGCTAGCGTGGGACCTCCTGTTCACCGCACGCACGCATGGGCGAGCTCCCTCTTTCTTTCGTTCTTTCCTGTTCCTTCGACGTGCACAAGCACAAGACGCAATGCCGATGGAGCTCGTGGACCCTGACAAAGTGACAGCCCGGCGATTGCGCGCGCACCGCGGCGTTGATCGATTATGCATTGATGATGATGAGACGGACTCCGGCCCGGGCGGCTGGCCGGGTATGTACAAGAGCTCTTAACTTCTTAAGCCAGCCGCGCGGCATGTCCTTAAGAAACGAGCGTCGTGCCGTCCTTGGCTGTTCGCCTGTTCTCGTCTCCTTCTCCTCCTCGCCTGACTCGTCAGAGCCACGCTCGTAAGCTGGTCCCCTTGCACAACCAAACCCAGTTCCTTCTGTCACGAACGTCGAACGCGGCTATGGCTAGGAACGAACAACCAAGTTCATTCCCCGGGACGCGTGGACGCGAGAGCAAAAGCGGAGGGGGTCCAAATGTCAGCCTGGGTTCACATAGACGTGCTTCGCTGCTTGTTACTGATCGCCAGAACGGATTCATCAGGCTGTTCAGTGTCGCTATTCTCTGAGGAAAAAAAAAACATGCATGCAGCATGTTCGTTTCGGCTGAATTGGCTTATAAACTATGGCTGAAAGTACTGCTGGCTGGTTTGGTGTGAGAGAAAAATACTATTCAAGCCGTGGATTATAAGCCAGATACGAGCGAATAAGCCGAAACGAAACAGGCTGATGATCGGCCTATGCATGCCCATGCATCAAAAGAAGGGTCCGCTCACCAACAAGGGCCCCGTTCGCTGGTCTGAAACTTAACTGAAACTGACTGAAAACGCTGTTCCGACCGAATTATTACGAGAGAAAAACGGTGTTTCCGCTAAAAAAAGTTCAACAAATCGAATATGGGGTAAGCCACCGAGGTGAATCGGTCCAAAAGATTCACCGTACCCCCGGATAGTTACAACGATCGATCAGGCCGGCGCGGCCGTGGAGCATGCTGCTGTAGGCATCGCCGTCGTCACTTCGTCAGTACCGTGGGGCTGGCAATGGCACGCACGCGAGCAATGCGTCTGCCGAGAGATGGGCGCCACCACGTTGACGGATCTGAGATGCATCCGCGAATTGATTGGGAGCTGCGGTCGTCTCCCCTCCACCGCTGCCACCACCGTCGATACGATCCGCGCAATGAATTCCACTCATCCACTGCATGTCCTCTCTCGCGTCAGGGGCGGACCCACGGGGTATGCCAGGTGGGCCACGGCCTACCCTGTGCGCCAGCCCAGCATTCATTGAATATGTAAAAATAGTTTTGCTTAATATGATTGTACGTGGTTCAGTGGTATGCTCACCCTATTATCCCCACAAGCGTGCAATGCATGTTCGGTTCCCGTGGAAGGTTATTTTTATTTTTCCTATTTTTTATTATATCCACTAATGCAGGTTCCGTTCCTACCGTGAACTGCACATTATTTTCATTTTCCTATTTTATTATCCTACAAATTAACCTGCACGATACAATACAAGACGTCATTTTTTTCTCTAGTTCTCGAATACAAGACGCAGCATCATCTTAGCTTTCGTTTATGCGCTTTTAGACTCCCACGCACATACAACCAACTTGCTACTCTCCCACAACATTTAGAGTCTATTTAGATTCCATAAATGAAACCAACATCTAGAAAATGTTTTCTATCTCATTACGAGATTACTTTCCAGTTTCTTCCATTCTTAGAAACCAAACAGGACCTTAGTATTTTTCTCTATATGTATGGCTACATGAGGTTGTGTGGCTAAAAAAATTTACCGCGTGAAGCCTGGCAGTTAATTTCTCATGTGGAAGCAAGGGTCGAGCAGTTTTTGCAAATGCACATACAGGCATGCAGTAATTTATACCAGACCATATAGGTGGACCATACATACTAATATCAAGACATTCATGTCATTTAGAAAGCGGCGGATAAACACAAGTCAGACAAATAGTATTATAAGCCTTTTTTATGTTTATATTTCAAACTATCTAAGGCTTATCATGTTATTTAACGCATGTGGTTTTATCGAATTGCAATATGGTTTTTACTGAATTGAAAAATGGTTTTACCGAATTGTATAAAAAACTTTGTGCAGCATACCCTATGGTAAAATCCTAGGTCTGCCGTTGTCTCACGTACGGGCCCGTGAACAGCTGCCAACCCAACAATTCTAGCAGCCGATGCCTAGGCGTAGGCGCGTAGCATACCCCAGGTTGTATGTGGTGGCATAGGCGGATATATATAGTCATTAGTGGATACGGCCGCACCCACACAAAAAACAGAAAACAGTGTTTATAGCTAAATTTTTACCATATTCACATCATCAAAATAAAAGTATATGCACCACAAGGTAAGCTAGCTCCCCCACTGCGAGATGGCTCCTCAAGCAGGCTGAAGATAGCTTGCCAGCGGCGGAAACAGGACGAGGCCAGTGTTACGGTCTCCAGGCTGCTGCATGCGATGCATTCACGGCGGCATGTACGCCATGTACGGCGTCACACTCGGCCGTGGCGCCGAGCAAGGAGGCCAGGCCAGGCGAGGACCGCGGGCAGGGGGGTGGGTGTATCAGTGTATATATAGCCTGTTCGGTTTTTGTTTAGTAGACAATGAATAGTGTTTTCCTCTCAGTGAACAGTTTTTCCTTTTAGTGAACAGTTTTTCTTCCCACAACAAACCAGCACCGACCGGATTTATCAGTTCAGAAATCAGCGAGCGAACGCGCCTTACGAGCGAACGCGCCTTACGAGCGTAACTCAGTCGGGGCCTCGCTTCTATATCCAGCCTCCAGGACGGCCTCCCCGGCGCCAGGTAGTACGTACGTACACGTACGTACGAGCTCCAGCCTCCAGCGATCGCGAGCAGTCCTTAAGAAAAGTCAAGCGTACCCACTAGGCCTCTCTACCCTCGAACCGCTGTCGGCTCTGGGCACCAGGGCCTGCTGCAAGCCGCGACAATGCAACGAGCAACTCATCGAGCATTAAGGTGCGCCAACGACGGAACGGTGGCACGGTGCCCGTGCCCACTCAACATTTAAATCCGGGGCTCTCGTGTGCATCAGTGCATGGACCATCGATCACACGAGTCTGTTGCTGGCGTCCCTTTCCCTGCGCGTGCGCGTCGCAGACCCGATTTGAACTGATTTTGATTCGAAGAGAATCGTACGTGTATCTCCATATGGTCACAATGATTTGGATGGGCGCAACTGCCATCCAAACGGTTTGTATGTTCTCAGACGAAATGATGGCTTGATGTACAAGTAGGTCAACATTTGCACTCTCAAATTACTGTGGGAACAAGTATAATCTTTTGGGATCTATTTGGCTATTTAGAAATAATGAGACTTTTTTTTGTGTGAAAATGGTGGGATTTGCTAAATTTTAGGTGCCTGAATTTTAGTTATCTTTCAGGTGACGGTTATTGCATATATATTATACTAAAATTGCAGTTTTAGTTATTTACAATTTCTGAAGACACAATCTGTAAATTTTTGTTCCGAGAATAAAACTTGTTAGACAAAATCACAAGCCTGACAAAATCTTATATGTGTTGGCACAAAAACAATTTAATAATTTACAACTATTTCTATAGTTAGACAAAGACAAAAAATTAATATGTTATGAAACAAAGACAAATAACAAATCACAAAAGAGGCAATTACTAATTTGTAGTATAAGAATGTTGTCTCAAATCATCTTAAAATTCAGGCAGATGAAATATAGGAGAAGTGGAAAACAATTGTACTCTTATTTGCATGTTTTTAGAGCAATTTACTAGACATTTTTCATGAATTACACAAGTACAAATGCAGACGTTCAACACGCATGCATACTCATCCCTATAAACACACGTACGTAAACCCTACCCATATGAGCACCTCCGAAGGATTATGCCGGCATATATTTTTGGAATGCCCTACAGAAAAGAATGACATGCCATTTTTGAAGTGGGCATGTCGCACAATGGACCGTGGCTATGAAAAAATTTGCCAAGCATGAATGGTCACACTTAAGAGACTTAGAGCATCTCGCTCATATCTCTTATATTGCATTTCATATAATTATTAGAGAAGAGTACCTTAAAATCAATTTAAGGTATAAAAGAGTGTCGCTATAGCAACAATCTCTTAAAACAGGGAGTAGCTGTAATCTCTTAAAAGAGTGTTGCTATAGCAACCATCTTTGTAATGTTTTTCTATAATTTTGGTCAAACTTGAGATGCTTTCACTCTTCAAGATTCTTGGAATAGTTTATAATTAGAATGGAGGGAGTAGCTGTCAAGCTTCGCTAGCATTAGATGCAACAACGATTTTTTTCGTAGATATAAGTATGTATATAAAACAGAGTGGTGGGGTTTAAAAAAAAAGGGTGTCGGATGCTCTGATGTGGGAGATAACTCATAGATGTAGCTTACAAACGGTGGTTAATTCACAGTGACTATGTCTTTAACAACAAAGTCCTAATGAGTCCTAATGTGGTGGTTCACCGATCAATAATTTTCCTGCAGAAATGGAGCATTCTACTCAAGGAGAAGGAAAGAGGCTGGGCTATGAAGACAGTGGAAAAGCTATCAAGACATTTGGGTCAAAGCGTCCAAGATTAGTGGTGTAGAGCTTCTGGGGGGTTTCGTTTAGGGAGGATGTAATCTCTGATATTTTCTGATGATCCCTTTAGTAGCTGCTTTTGCAAAACTATGTTGTGACAGAGAGTGTGTGCCATGGGCACGTTTAAAACTCTATTTGTAAGCACATCTCCCCCGCGAATCCTTATGCTTTCTATAAAACAGGAACAATCGGTCTTTATCTAAATTTTTACAAACGGAATTCTCTCCGTTTCTGGAGCTTTTGAGCGGATACAGCCGTACATCAAACATGCAACGATCACACTCGGCGATGACACGGAGATTTGACCCGTAGCGGTAGGCAGACAGCTTTGCCAGTCACGTCCCTAGCTCTGTTAAAGTGTTAATGCTGGTCCCTCCCCGCGCCACGCCGGCCGATTATAGATAGAGGGCGTTTACCAGCATCATCCATCCATTCATCCACTGTGACGCTGTGTGTGTAGTGTGCGTACTGCTACTGCAAGCACCTCGGCTCGCACTCGCACCCCCGCGGCTCCCCGCCACCTCCTTCTCAACCCAAAGACCCGTTTCTCGGACGCCGCGCCCCGCGCCTTCCGCTTAAACCCCGCACCCCAAGCGCCGTGCATCACCGCGGCGGCCGCCGCTCAGCAGTCATCCTAATCGCACCTAAGGTCTCTCCACGGTGGTCTAATAAGTGAAGTTAGTACGACGCCATGGTGGCAGGCCGCGTGAAGGCGGCCATGGGCTTCCAGCGCAGCCCCAAGTCGCCGGCGCCGGAAGCAGCGCCGTCTCCATCCCGGATGCCTAACCGGGCGCCGCCCACGTCGGGCTCCGCGTCCACCACCGCCGGCTCGGCGCCGCCGTCCAAGGCGTCGGCGCTCGCGCGGTCCTTCGGCGCGTACTTCCCGCGCTCTTCGGCGCAGGTGCGCCCCGCCGCCGCCCGCGCGCCGCCGCAGGTCGCGGAGCTGCTGTGCGCCATCGAGCAGCTCCAGGAGCGGGAGTCGCGGCTCCGCGTGGAGCTGCTGGAGCAGAAGATACTCAAGGAGACCGTCGCCATCGTCCCGTTCCTGGAGGCCGAGCTCGCGGCCAAGAGGACCGAGCTCCAGCGGTGCAGGGACACCGCGGACCGACTGGAGGCCGAGAACGCGCGGCTGTGCGCCGAGCTCGACGCCGCCGCGCTCGAGGTCACGAGCAGGAAGCAGAGGATCGTCGAGCTGGAGAAGGAAATGGCGGAGCTGATGAGGAAGCAACAGGAGGCTGCGGCGGCGGCGGCGGCGGACGCCGACGACTGCTCCTCGTCCGCCTCGGCGCCGAACGAGCATCTCGAGAGCTCCAGCGCGGCGCCAAATCGTGCGAGTTTAGCTCAGCTCGGTGCTGAGCGGCCGTACATTCCGCCGCCGCCAGCGCCTTTCATGCCCAAGTCCTACTTCTCCGCCTCGTCGCACCCTTCGCCCGCAATCTTGTCGCCACCCTCCCCGTCTTCCTCCACGTCCACCTCGTCGTCTTCGCCAGCGCACTCCCGCTCGTCGTCGGATACGGCAGCCGCTCCGCGACGCCGCGTGGTAGTAGAGCTCTCAAAGCTGCCGCCCATACCTCCGCCGCCGCCGCCTTGCCCTCCTCCGCCACCTCCCAGCAGGAGCAAGAGATTCTCTCCCTCGAGCTCAGCCAGAGCCGACGGAAGCGCAGCCGCCGCCGCCGCCCCACCTCCCCCGCCGCCTCCCCCTCCGGCAAGGAGGCCGCCGTTCGGCGCCGTGCCACCACCAGGGGGGGCATCATCGTCGGGGCAATGCGACGTCAGGCGCGTGCCCGAGGTGGTGGAGTTCTACCACTCATTAATGCGGCGGGAGTCCAAGAGGGACGGCGGTGTCGCAGGTGAGCCCGCGAACGGCGGCGGCGTGACGACGACGCGCGACATGATCGGCGAGATCGAGAACCGGTCGGCTCACCTCCTCGCGGTGCGTACAACTGAAGCATCCATCCGTCACCTCGTTTTCGTTCTCGTTTTTCTGAACCGTGACCACCACCGGTACTTCAGCGGCTAACCACTATTCGAATCGAACGACCCGAAGAATGGTTCGTGTAGGAGAGTTTGGTGAGGCACAGTCATTGAACAGTGGAGGCGTCGTTCTCCGTCGTTATTGCAAAGATTAGAAGCGGTCTCCGTCGTTATTTGCTAGATTACAAGCCGTTTGGTTGGGTAGATGCGGTTAGTTATTGCTGCGACGGTGAATGCATCTGCATGCATGCTCTGCCAAACCTTTGATCCATGCAGGTACAGTACAGCAAGTAAAACGGAGACCACCCGTTTGCTCTCGAGTTTATCCTCCTCGCGATGTCCATGTCAGAATTCCAAAGGCGAGGAGCGAGCGAGGGCCAAGATTTTGTTCTGATGGCGCAGCCTGCTGAATGCTGATAAGAGGCAGCGACGGCGAGCTGAGCTCGGTGAATGAATGTGGTAATGCAGATACAGTACAGTGTGCTAATAGTACAGGCAGTTAAGCAGAAACGTACGTAATCTGAGGTGGACGTGTCATACTGCTAGGTGGGGCCGACGGAAGTGCAGTGAAGGGTTGGTCTGGTGGTTCGGTAGATGCGTGAGTTACGGTCTCCAATTTTAATCCGAGCATTGGTGTCGTGTCTCTCTCTGGTCCTCTGGTTGACTTCGATCTCAAGGAAGATAGTATACCACACGTCACTTGTGATTCGACGCCCTAAACTGATTTGTGGTTGACTTTGGTTGGCAGATCAAGTCGGACGTGGAGAGGCAGGGCGACTTCATCCGGTTCCTGATCAAGGAGGTGGAGGGCGCGGCGTTCGTCGACATCGACGACGTCGTCAGCTTCGTCAAGTGGCTGGACGACGAACTCTCGCGCCTGGTACTGCGTTTAAGTTCTAGGCACAAATAAACCATCCATCGATCGACCGGTCAGCTGCTAATCCGCTCGCGTGGTCCGTGCCGTGCGTGCAGGTGGACGAGCGCGCGGTGCTGAAGCACTTCGAGTGGCCGGAGCACAAGGCGGACGCGCTCCGCGAGGCGGCGTTCGGCTACTGCGACCTCAGGAAGCTGGAGGCGGAGGCGGCCTCGTTCCGCGACGACGCGCGGCAGCCCTGCGCCGCCGCGCTCAAGAAGATGCAGGCGCTCTTCGAGAAGTAAGCGATCTCTCTCGCGGCACTGCGACCGTGAAGGGTCACGACGTTGCTTGTGTTCTAAAATGTGTACGTGTGCCGAACTGACATATCAGGTTGGAGCACGGCGTGTACAACCTCGCCCGCGTCCGGGACGCCGCCACCAGCCGGTACACCCGGTTCCAGATCCCGTGGGAGTGGATGAAGCAGGACACCGGCATCGTCAGCCAGGTAAAACTCGCATTCACTCACCGTGGGTGCGTCCGTCCGTCCGTGGCATTCATTCACGTATACGGAGTATATAAGTAGCGACTGTCGTACAGTGAGTGAATTCTACGCTTGGATGGAGAGGACAAACAAACAACTTTTTCGATGCCATCCGTGTCCGTCCGCACATGTATGTCGGGTGTCACGTACGCGCAACCGTACAAGTTGGAAGGCGTACTACAACCCCCGCCCGCCTGGCGCCCCGCCCGCGCGTGATCCGGCCGGCACGCCTCTGCTAGTTCACGTGCAGATCGAGCCCGTAGAAGTTACCCTCCCCCGTGCCGGTCCCGGTACACAACAAAAGGGAATTCGAGGTGGAAATCCGGAACGCTACGCGCCGGGCGGCAGAAGCAGGTGTGGTCTCGTCGTCTGTTTCAGCGTGGGGCATCTGATAGGATGTGGCGTGCGTGGGCGTGCACCGGTGCATGTGCATGTGAGCCGGCCGGCCGGCGGCGCATCTCGTGAGCGTGCCGCCGTGCGCCCGTGCTTGTTTTGCTTGCTCCGTTCCCCTTCTCTCCTGCCACCGCTGCAGCAGCTAGCTAGAGAACAATCCCGCGACACCTCGGAGCCCGCGTCCGTTCTGCGCGGCATCGGTTGGTCGAGCTGGCCGGGCACGGGGCACGGGGCACGGGGCACGGGTTGCGGGAATGGGGAATCGGTCCTCGTCAACGTGGCCCCGCCCGGGCTATGCCTATGCGATTCGGCGTTGCGATGCGTGATCCGATCCTTGTTGTGTTCCCATTGCCATTGCCGTGTTCGGCAGGGCGCTATGGTGGCGCTCCCTGCTGCGTGCACTGTTGGTGTGCTAGGCCGAGCTCTCTCTCGTCTGTTTTGCTTTGGGTGGGCTGTGCACTTGTGCTGCACCGACTCTTTCACCATCCGCAGAACTGGTAGACTCAGAAAATCATTCTTCAGTCTTCTCATCAACGAAAATATAGAACAGCACCATTGATTGCTTGCGCCGTACTTACACCGGGTGGTTGTGTTTCTGTTTCCACTCTGGACCATTTCCCAAACCCAATTGAATTTGTAGATGCACGTACTCTCCTTTCTTGCATCTCACTGCAAGTCCAGTACGCTGTTGTATTGTAGTTGACTGAAAGTTTTGAATGCTGGTAGATGAAAGTATTGTACGTGTTTTAGTTAAGATGTAGACTTCCGCAGATGATTATTCGGTTGCTGCCAGATGATCTATCTTGGGCCCTCTTTGGAAGGGCTTCTGTAGGGGCTTCTTCGTCGGCTTAATTAAAAGCACTACCAAACGGGTATACAAGAGAACAGCCTGGAGCCGAAAACAAGCAAAAAAAAAAACAGTGAAATCGAAGCTGTTTAGGGGCTAGAAGATGAAGCCATCAAAACATGGCTTTTCCTGGTTTCTCTGTTTTTTTAGAAGTTCAATCCCTACCAAATAGAGCCTTAAAATAACTTGATTGCACTGAATAGAGGCTCGTGAGGGGCTATAAAATGTCGATGAGTGGCAGCCCTTTTTTTTTTTTGCATCTCATGGTCTCATGGACCTACTCCGGGCTTATTGTAACCATTTGTCTGTATAAAGTACTGATGAGAGCGGTGATGTACAGATCAAACTCCAGTCTGTGAAGTTGGCAATGAAGTACCTGAAACGGGTTTCCTCTGAGCTTGAGGTAATCAAGGGAGGCCCTGAAGAGGAGGAACTGATGCTTCAAGGAGTACGGTTCGCCTTCAGAGTACACCAGGTACGTGCTTGGTTGTTACTCATCATTCAACTATGAAAAGCATCAGCGTGTACTATCAGAGAACAATTCATGCCCCATTCCATGTTGTCGTTAGGCCATGCCAAGGCACTTGACACTCCTCGCTTCATGCAGTTTGCAGGTGGATTCGACGTGGACACCATGCGAGCCTTCCAGGAGCTCAAGGAGAAGGCGTCCATGTGCTGGATACAACGGCAGAAGCAGCACCGTCAGCTGCGGCAGCACAGACTCGTTGCCAGGGCCTGAGGAGTGAGGAACAGTTCTTGTATGGTCGATTATACGCCATCATCTCGTCGTCGCCACAGTGGCATAGTATGATTTGTTGATTGTGTTTTTTTTTCTTTTTGTTGCGAGAAATAGTTGAGGATTGTCTATTCTGCTGTAAACGCTCCAGTACTGTAACTAATGAACAACCTTTGTGCCTTTTTAGGACAAATCTATGTTTATCACAGTCTCATCCTTTCGTTCTTCCAATGTCTGTTTTTGTCAAAAGCTTTGTGCTTACTGATTATGTATATAAAAACTTCGGCTATTTGTGTGCCATACTGCCATGTAGCAAAATGTTACTACCTACTCCATACATCGTATACTCCCCACAAGAAAGGTATCAACTGTCGGTGCTTTTTTTTTTGTTTTGAACATCGCCTTCGGATTGCATAGAGCTTCGTACATAAACGAAGTTCAAAATAACGCATCACAGACGACGTATTGTCTGTATTCGTTATATTGACAACGTTATATTCTTCGGAATGGGAAATTTTTGTAATGTACTTTTAGCAGAAGACGGTGGATGACTAAGCCCCTGTTCGCTTCGCTGAAAAAATAAGTCAAAACACTGTTTCGGCTGATTTGTTGTAAGAGAAAAATACTGTCATGTCTGAAAAAATAAGCTGAAAAAGACGGATTACAACTAAATGGAGATGTGATTGGAGGTCTGCCAGTTAACTTCGACCATTCAAGTTAAAAAAAATTAACTTCAACCATTAAGACACTTTAGTGTGGCAATTTATTTTCAATGGCATTATTCTTTGCAGTCTCTCTACAAAATTATCAACTTCAAAGAAGTACAACCTGTGCTTGTGTTCGCTGTTCGGGTGCTTAACATTCCTCCGAGAGTTTGTTACTTTCTTTGGCTATCGACTAAAGATCCTTAATAATTACTAGAGATAACCTTAGCAAAAGGAGGAATCTGGACGATGACTCCTGTCTTTTTTGCTATGAAAAAGAGTCAGTTAATCACCTTTTCTTTGAATGTGTAGTTGCTTCTCAACTCTGGTTTGTCATCTCTAAGGTTTTTGATTTGCAGTTAGGAGTTTCTCTATCCTCTATAGGAAAGTTTTGGCTAAGCAATAAAGAAATGCATAGTTTCTTTAGACTCTATAGGAAAGTTTTGGCTAAGCAATAAAGAAATGGGATGCTAATATGATCACTTCAGCTGCTTTTATGGAGCCCGTGCAAACTTAGAAATGATCTGTATTTTTATTTTAGAGAATCAGGTGGAGGAGTATGGATATACTCTTGCACATGTTGCTGCTACGGCACAATTCTGTGTCAGGAAGACAAACAAGCATCGTTGAAAGAAAAATAGTAGAGATCAAGAAGATGGCTGGGAGGGTTCTCTGGCTACCAAATCGACGACCAAAGTGGATCAACCATGGAGTCAAGTGGTGGAACAGATGATCGACAGATACAAGTTGGGGATGAACTTTAATTTGGAGGCCCTGGAACATGCGAGCTGGACGGCTGGAGCGAAACTCCTTTTGGTCTGGTGTAATCTCTTTCAGTAGTTTCTAGTTTTGTTGAGAGTTATTTTTGGTGAGGTTAAGGGCCTGTTTGGCAGGGCTCCGGCTCCGGCTCCTACGGAGGAGGCCTGCTAAATATTTTTCTGGAGGAGCTGTTTTTTAGTAAAAAGAAGAGGACCCGGAGCCGTTTTGAAGGAGCCCCTCAAGAGGAGCCGTGCTAAACACCCCCTAAGTCTTCTGTTTTGGTTGGTAGCTGCTAGTAGGTTGGCTTGAAAGCTTTTTGAGAAGGTTGGTCTAAACTGTTTTTAATGGTATGCCATTCGCTACGCCTTAAACTGTTATTTCCCTGTAGTTAAAAGACCTAGGCTTTGTCCTAAAACTCTAAAAAAACGGTAAGCCTAGAGCCCGGACGTCCGGGCCCAGGCCCGTGTTCGGACGCAACTCCCGTGCCGTTGTGCCCGCATTGCATCCCACGCGCTCCGTCCCGTTCCTAACCAGCGCTGGCTTCCGGAACTGCGGCCCGTGCCCATCCCACGCCCCGCATGGCACAACCACGCCCCTGCGCCCATCCCGCGTCCGCATGGCAGAACCGTGCCATGTGCCCGCACGCCGAAACCGCGCCCCGCGCCCACCTGCCCCGCTTGTGGATGCGCGCCGTGGAGGCGTCTGCAGGCCCTAGGCACCGACAAGTGAACCATGGCAGCGCACCAGCAGCAGTAGGCGGACAACGTCCTGCAACACAAGTTTTACTTTTTAAACATCTAGATGAAACATTTGCAACATACGTCTGAAAACAGATGAAACACTTGAAACATGCGTGTATAGCCATTGCAACATGTGCAACACCAGATCAACTTTTGAAACATCCAAATGAAACATTTGAAACAAACATCTGAAACACTTGAAACATAGGCTTACAACATGCGTATATTGCCGTTACAAATCGACTTTTGCAACATTCAGATGAAACACTTGAAACATAAGTTGGAAACGCCTGAAACACTTCAAAGACGGTGTAGCCGGCAACCATGGCCTACCTGGTGAGGGACTGCGGTAACCAGCAAGCTTAGGTCCAGAGGGAACGTGAGCAAACGTCTGCGCGTGTGCAGGCCACCCCTTCCTACCTGTGGGAGACGAAGTCCAGACCGGCGACGACCTTCTCCTGGTGGCGTTGGGGTGGTGGTGGCGTGGTGCCCGCCATGGCCGCGACGGGCAAGGTGGATGGGGCTGTGCTAGTGGATAGGGGCGTGGCGTGGGATGGTGGCGCGGCGTGGCCGGCGATGGGGTGCGGCGTGGCAGGGGAAGGACGTAGCGTGCATGGGGGACGGGGGCGCAGCGGGGCATAGTGCGACGGCGGATGCGCGGTGATCACTGCCAGATGCGAGTGCGATGAAGAAGAGCACGCCTCTTGGGCTGTCCGCTGCGTAGGCCCATGAAGATAGTGTCCGGATGAAGGCGGACGCCCGTGGCCAAATATTAGCGAAAAAATGATATTCTTGAAGAGCAAAGAAAATGCATCCCCTATAGTACACTACTTTGATACTGAACAATAACTGAATCACCCCCAGGTTTCAATCATGTAATACAACATTGTAAACTCGCTTGCTGCTGCTGCTTCTTCTTATATGATGATATGACATAACAGTGTTCCTGCTGTTTTTTTAACAAAAACAATTGAATCACCAATTTAACCTATAGCTTGCGCCAATTGGCGCGCGCGCCCACACACACATATATGTTTCCCCCGGTCCTATGCCAGGAGCGATGCGTAGAGGATCTGGTTCCATGTGTCTGGCACACCGGCGAGGCACCAGTGGCTGCAGTCGTTTCCCGGGTGGCCGCCGCTGTAGGCCGATGGGTGGCCGTCCCGCCTGAGCTGCGACAGCAGCGTCACGTCGAGCAGGTACACCGGTTTGGACATGCCGCCCAGCGCGGCCCGCACCGCGCCCTGCGCCGGGACGGGGCCGGCGGGGTACGCCGACCCGGCGACCGGCTGCGTCTGCTGCGCGCAGCTCCGTGAGCCCTCGCCCCAGTCGGCTCCGCTGAAATGCAAAGGAAACAAACGCGTCCGGCGCCGCGTCTTTTTAGTTGTTGGGCCTTTTGGATCTTGTGGTTGTAGGCTTTGGTGTGTGGGTTTTGCTTACTTGTAGTGGGTCGGCGAGATGCCCTGGAAGTAGACCTTGGTCCTGGAGGTGTCGACGTTGGAGTCGACCCACCTGGCCCATGTGGACATCCCCTTGGAGAAGGCCGTGAGCCGGTCCATGTCCTTCATCACCTGCCCTCCGTCTTGGACGTAGTCCCACCTGGATCACCATCGGAAACAAAATCAAAACGATGAACACAACAAATGCGAAAGAAAGGAAGTGGGTGCTGTGGACGTACGGTTGGTCCCTGCCGGTGTGCGTCCACCAGTGCCACGTGTTGAAGACGAGGACGTCGGCGCCGAGCCAGGCGTCGCCGGTGATGGAGTCGAGCTTGAGCACCCGGCCGACGGACTCCTCGACGATGTCCACGAGGTACGTGCTCCGGTAGTAGGCCACCGACACCCCGTAGTCCTGCCACCAGCACCAGATTGACAGACGCACGTTAGTTGGCGTACGTGCGGGCGTATCCGTGTACCACCAAAACAGAGCAACGCGATTAAATGCCGATCGATCTCGACAATGCATGCATGTTACGCCTACTATATGCACGTACATGGCCGCACCGTATGTCCGTATCAATCAGCTATCAGCAGAGCACGCACAAAGGTCCAAAGGTGTCGGCACCTCCTATAGTGCCAAGTCTATTCAGTGTAGTAGTGTAGTCGTCGGCGACAAATATCTCTGTTTGTCTGCGTCTGCGGCACCTGTGCGTCGCAGAGAGTGCGGATGCGATGTCACTGCTGCCGAAGCACAGTGCACAGCAATGCCTTGGTTTTCTTTTCTTCGTTATATATTTTGTACGGCCCGTCCGTGGCATTGCATTTGCATACCTGCATTCTGCAAAGCAGTTGTAGTAGAGTAGAGCGGGCAGCAAGATGGCTAATGCCCTGCTTTGATAGACGGCTAGACGCAGACAGTCTGATTATAAAATAGAGGAGATTATGACATTCACAAAGTACCAATCTGGTCGGCACAATAAGTAAGAACTCCCCATTTGCTTTGCTGGTTCTCTGCAGCTAGTCTACTCGAGATATATACTATAATACACCTGGGTGCATCCTGTATATAGAATGCACCCAGGCCGCTGGGCGCACCAACTTGGAGCAACCAGCGCGCCCAAGCAAATACATGCATACATGGAAGTTTTTGTTGGTTCGAATCTTTGAAACAAATTTTCTCCTAAACCGTAACCCCGATTGACAAACCGTTTGTTGCATCCGACTCAAAAAAAAAATATTCTAAGCAAAACTAGATCCAATATAGATATATTTTTTTATCCTTTAAGCGAGTTGCATGTCAATGTACTACCGATTGCAACTCTGTCTACCACCTAATTGCAACTAGTTATAACTCTGTGTATTATATGCATCTGGTCATTATAATCACGCCAAGTTGCAATTCTGAGTTGCAATCAGTGCTAAATACGCTACAGCCAAGTTGCAATTATATTGTAGAAGTGCTTGCAACTCATAGTACAACATATTGCAATTACGTATTTGAAAAAAAAAACTTCATCAAATACAACCTTCATTGCAACCAGTGCTAAATATGCTACAGCTAAGTTGTAATTGTGTTGTAGAAGTGCTTGCAACTCATAGTACAACATGTTGCAATTACGTATTTGAAAAAAAAACTTCATCAAATACAACCGTCATTGCAAAAGCTAAATACGTTGTACCACGTTGCAATTGTGTTGTAGAAGTGCTTGCAACTCATAGTACAACATATTGATTTGAAAAAAAAACTTCATAATGCCTTCATTGCCTGCTTTGATAGCAATTGTGTTGTAGACGCAGACAGTACAACATATTGATTATGAAAAAAAAATCAAATACGGCCTTCAGGAGCATATTTACTTCAAAAGATCTAAAACCAATCGCATTTTTCGTTTGGAATCAACAAAAGTTTCCCTGCATGCATGCTTCCTGGAGTGGTGGGTTGAGCTGTTAGAACTCCCCATTTGTTTTGCTGGTTCTCTGCAGCTAGTGTGTGTATATACATATATATATATATATATATATATATATATATATATATATATATATATATATATATATATATATATATATATATATATATATACTATATAAAAAAGGGATTGCATCTGGTGGACAGAGGATGAGAGGATCTAACAGTTTGACCCTTGTCAGCTTGTCACGGGTAAGACCGATTAGCAAAAGGGACCCGTACCCGTAGCAAAACGCCAAAAGCGAACAATGGAAAGCTTTGTGCTGTCGCGCGGCCCATCCATGGCGACGACGACCCCTTCCCCGTCACGGACCACCCACGATCGCCCATGATCGCCCAATGCAATTCCTCTGCCACTGCCACCACATGAGCAAAGCAAATTGGCGCGCGCGTCCAGTTTTCTGCTGCTGGCGGTGCGATTTGGCGCTGGTGCGCCTCCATCTGCGCCAGACAAACGCGCCGTTCCACCCGTAGTGCCCGAAAGCCTGCGGCCGGAACTCCCAAAAGGCCAGCACGGGGCACAGGCACAAGCCTTTTCGAAAGCTTGTAGACTGTCTATTTCCAATCTTGCTTTCACTAGTTGCTTAAATAATTTGAACATCCCATGCGTGAATCCTCTTTCGCCACAACGTTGAGCTACCCACTTATCCAGCCGTGCTACTTCTCACTAAAAATATGAATGTAGGGCACGGGACATATGGCAGGGGAGCGAGAGGTCTGGTATAGTACTAGGCGTACGCACCTGGAACGTGACGCTGGAGACGGGGTTGCCCCTGGCGTAGGCGACCTTGGACGCCGGTGCGGCGGCGTGCAGCATGCACGCGAGCGACTCCCACTGGTTCAGGCTGATGGAGTCCCCCACGAACAGTATCTTCTTCCCCTTCCATCGCCTCAGAAACTCCTGCCCGTTGAACCTGGCATTGGCAGGCAGCAATGGCGGCCGGGCGCGTCATTGACTCCAGCACGCAGCACGCAGCTTGGCCTTGGCGCACCAAGATTTGATCGATCGAGGCATTGCTTGATGAGTGATTACAAACAGACAGACAGACAGACAGGCGCGTAGTCGCGTACCTCGGGAGCTCGCAGGAGGTCGGGCGCCACCGGTACTTGAGGTACAGCTTGTCGGGGCGGCCGTACTTCTGGCAGTCGAACTCCGGCTCCACGAAGGGGCACCCCGCCGTGTCGTACATCGGCAGCGTGTCGTCGTACACCCAGCTTCCCTGGAACAGGTTGCACGACGCCATGCCGGTGCCGGGGGAGCCTGCCCTGCCGCCGCCACGCTGGCGCCCGCCCCCGTGCCGCGTGCCGTTGTGCTGCCTCGCGGGCCTGTGCTGCCGGAGGCCCAGCGTGCCCGTGCCCGCAGCGGCGGCGCACGCGCGCAGCAGCGAGCACGCGACGGCGGCCGCGGCGAGGAGGGGCAGGAGGCGCAGCTGCCGGTGCCGCTGCCTGGGCGCCATTGCGCGGCGCTGTGGAGTGAGGAGCGGGGAGCTGGGCCTTGCGGGGACGGACCACGGACGGATCAGATGAGGCCGGCGCGCCGAGCTTTTTATAATAAGGCGAGCGACGGGTTTTACGCCTTTTAACTTGGCCTACTCAGCTTTTTCTGTGGGCTGGCCGGCCGGACTATCTCAGGTTAGATTCTCGGCCGGTCGCTGGCCGCTGGGGTCTGCGCGGCTGCGCCATGGAGGTCTGTCAGATAGGCGATGATGCGATGGTGACTCTGTTTCGGCAGCCGCAGGGTCAGAGACAGCGGTCGCCGGATGAGAGAGTCCACGCCACGGCCCACGTCGTGTCCCCACCCTGTCCCCGCCAGGCGCGCATCGGCACGGCCCGTGAAAGCACTCCCACGGGCCACGACACGCGTATCCGCCTAGCATACGAGCATACGGCATATCTCTAGACTCCGGGTGATCAATGTATACGTAGATGTCTTTTGAGCCAGTTCGTCAGGTCAGGTAGATGCATTTGCATTTGCATATCCCATCAGTCCTCGCTCCGTGATTGCGAATGTATATTTGGTTTCCAACTTTCCATGCATTACTTGTTACGAGTACATCGGAAGAAAAGCGTGCATGCATTCAGGATGTGATTTGTCAGTTGTATACGCTTGGAAGACGACCATGGGGAGAAAAAAACATGAGCATAGATAGCTTCCCACGAAAACGATGGCTCCCATGCATACTGGAAGCCCGAATTTATGACATCGACATAGATTCTTGAACAGCGTCACCACGTTTACCTTTGTGTACAAGCAGGGAATGTAGAGGAGCGGGTCTTAGTAAGGCCTGGTTTAGTTCCTAAAAATTTTCACCCTAAATTATTACATCGAATCTTACGATTTATGTATGAGTATTAAATATAGACGAAAAAAACTAATTACACAGTTTGGTTGGAAATCGTGAGACAAATGTTTTAAGACTAATTAGTCCATGATTAGCCATAAGTGCTACAGTAACTAACATGCACTAATGATAGATTAATTAGGCTTAATAAATTCGTCTCGTAGTTTCCAGATAAGCTATGTAATTAGTTTTTTATTAGTATCCGAAAACTCCTTCCAACATTCCAAAACATCCGACGTGACATCCAAAATTTTTTATTTCGCGAACTAAACACATCCTAATTTAGGTCCGGTTAGCGTGACCTCCACACTCCCGTCTTCTTTGATTGTGGGCAGAGCGGGCGGAGCCATGTCGTGCAGAGGAGCACTTTTGACCAGCAAAGCACAGAGCCAGAGCCGTTTTGTATACGCATGCGAAGCTGCGAAAACTGGCTCCATAAAGGGTTCCGGAGGAGCTACACCAATCATGTTCTTATATAGAAAGATTAGGCAGCGTATTCGTATGTTGCTACGGGATAGCTAATAATTTATATTAAAAACACACGGATTCAACAATAAAATAATAATACTGTAAAAATTAAATATCAACGTTAAAGTTACAGTTAATCCAAAAAGCAAAGTTTGTTAAATTAATAGTCATGGAGAGCGCGGCGTCACAGGCTTACAAACTCTACTTTATAGACATTTCCATGATGCGGCTAAGATAATGTTTTATATCTGCAGGAAGAAATCTCCGATATCCATTTCTTTCGTGCGCTAATAAATCCATGAATAAGTTCTGCCGCATCTCTATACCATCCTGTACATAGACTCGAGTATATATGTCAATATTAGTGCCTGTCGCATGGGTAATACTGCGTCTTTTGAAAAATCTTCCACAAAAACTTAAAACAAAGTGTTATACTCACCGTATAAATATGTGTGGCTTTTGGTCTATTTTATGTAGACTTATACTGTAGAATAAGATATCCACTTAAGTGTTTGTGGCAAGATTCGCGATCAGCGATATATAGGAATAGTTAAATCGTAGGTATTATTATTGCAAGCCATAGTGACTCTGAGTTAGTTACCCATCTATGTCCTCTGCAATGTTTCCTTCCCATCTGAATTTTCATTTGAAGACATCCTTATTCCATTCAGGAATATGTACATTCATTACGTGTGTGTACTGCAAGGTAAATCCAAGAGTGTATCTGGCATACATCAGCGCTGGTGTGTCTTTACACCAGTCTTCAATAGGTCTAGAATTCAATCATGATAAGCATCTTCTCCTTCTGATGGGAAACATAAAACATATACTTTCGAACGTGTAGCCATGGCAAAAGAAACTGCAAACATGGTAGCGTTTAGAATAGTATATATGAAACAAGTAATAAAAGCAGGATCAAGCGACTTATGTATATGCATTATGCTAAGCTGTATTCCATATCCTCACATACACCAATCGCAGCAGTCATTTCTTTCTTAGTGTATTTTTTACAGTATTCTAGCATTTTTGTTAAAGCACACATTTTCTGGAAGAGAAGGATATCGAGTGTTAGGATTAGTATAACTTGGCCTACTTTATACAATTAGGAGAACAACAAATAAGACAATATAATATAGCACGATAAGAATTTTAAAAATGTGCTTACACATAATCTCAGATCCATGTGATGCTTCATAATACTATTGTATTTTTTCATTGTATTGTACTCTCGAGCTGCCTAAAAACAGACACCTAAGTTGAAATAGTTCTCCAAGATGTCTTGATTATTCATTAACAACTCTTGTAGGTCCTTGACACTTAGGACAATCATGGAGGGATGAAAACCTTTAACCCAAGGCTTCCTGCAAAGCATTAGACATAGATGATGGTTTTCATCATATAAGATAACACACTATTATTAGTAAATAAAGTAATTAAATAAACATGTAGCTTACTTCAACGTCGCTTCATCCTGAATTGCCATGACGTAATCACACAGTAACTCAGTCATCTCTTCCTTGTTCATTGGCATGTCTTTCATGGCCTCAAATTCGCAAAACTCATCAGGGTCTTGGTTGGCATGGACTAATGGGGATTTATTCTGAGTTTGTATGTGTTGAGGGGTGCCCGTTTGAACCACTAAGCATTCGGCCTCCTCATAATGTTTTCTCTTTTTCGTGGACACTTGATCAGCCATCTTTGGATTATCTATTATGGCATAGTCGCTTGGGCTTTCAATATTTTCATCCCTATCAAGATATGGAGCACCCTTTCGTTTGTTTAACTTTGACGATAGCAAGATCGCCGCAAGCTTCAATCTAAATTCTTTCATATCATCCTGCACGGTAGTATGAACCTAATTAATTATTAATTAAAAACCCACAGGTAGTGCACACTCATAACTTGTGGTAAGACGCATAGTTTACCTGATTGAACTCGTCTGACAAATTGTTCCTAGTCCAATACTCCATAAAGTTTATTAAGAATAAACCCCATGAAAAACTACATACAACATTAATAGAGGTTCATGCTCACATTATATTAAAAAGGCAAAGACACATAAAATTTAACTTATATGACATGCCATTATTTCTGACGTACCCATCTGTTTATAATAATTTGCCACGGAAAATCTCCCTAACCGGTTAGGTATCAACCTCAACATCTAGCCATTTTGCTCTTTCGGGCCTGTCTCCTCCAATATGAAATCTATCTGTTTCCGCAATCCACCTCGCTATTTGAGTCTAGCACCTGAACCTCACATTTGTCGGCGTTTATAACAGCAAGGTACCAATGTGTATTTGTAACATTTATTGGAAGGAACATCTATCAAATCAAATAATAAACATTTGGCCAGGCATAAAAATTTGACAATGAAAGACCAATAGATTATTTAAAAAAATTGCTACCATGTCATGCTTCAAGTAAGCTAGCACCCTTTGAACTAAACCAGGACGCGGTGGAGTGCCACGATTAGGGTAATTGGCTTCAATGGTCTCATCCTTTTCTCCATCTCGCTTCATGATTGCACCTAAGCACGCAGTTTCAAGATAGACTGTACCTCCTGGCCTCTTTTTCAAACCCTCCTAGGCCTTCAGCAGTTTAATATAAGCATCTATGACATGTATACATTTTGCCATTAGAGAGAAAGGGCATTGAAGTTAGCAATGTTTGATTGAGTATTATGACTTGCATCTATTACCTCATCAGACAAGTATTCATATGGCTGAAAAAGATATTCCATGTGGTTTCTTGACACCGAAACATCATCTATGAGCACAAGCTCCTCATTCCTTGGTGAAGATGGAATTTTTTTGACAGATTCAATTATGGCTCTATCAGTATCGGTACAAACATAATCTAAAAAAGAGGATTAAATTAAAGTATACAACAATAGTTAGCAGTTTTTCTAAGTTAATCCATCAAAGAGAAAATATCAATACCTTCTGGGGCAACCGGTGAAGACATAGATTTTTTGGGTTTATTTTGTATGATTATGATTTTTAAAAGTCCTTTTTCTTCCATCGGATCTACCCTAGAAGTTGATAGGGCCTTTTCATCATGGCCCGTGCTAAAGCCCTGGTCAACTGATAGAGCTTTGTTGGTAACTTCTGTACTCATGCTTTTTGCAACCATCTAGAATCATCCATAGGCTCACTAGAATTTTCTGTTTGTACAATATCTTCTAAGGACCCTCTATTTTCCTTCGAAACCTTTGCATCTGAAGCTATCCATCAAGACCTAAAAGACGTATTTTTTTTAAATAATTAAGGTATATAAAACATGGAATAAATTTTAACTAAAAGGAGCTAAGCCCTGCATTAGCTAGAGATCCCAATACACATCACATAGCCTCTGCACGTATCTATACAAGACTCTTAAAGAGGCATGATTTTAGATCACACAAGCACCGGAGGCAATAACAAATAAAGAAACGCTATCAGGGCAGGATGGGATTCACTAACAGGGTAGACGTTTATGGAAGACAAAAGATGTTGGAAGCTCCTCGTGGCAGTACGTAGTCCTACTCGAGGGCATAGCAAGACGACGAAGGTGATGGCGATAGGCGACGACGATGGCGATGTGCTATGGCGAAGCACAACCAGTGCGCAAGGGCGGAGGCTGGTGCGAACGAGGGCAAGCTCAGT